CAGTTCGGATTCCTATATCACGGCGAACAAATTGCGACAGTATTCGTAGAAACATGATAAAAAACTCCTATAATTCGGTAAAACGTCATCGCCGACTCGTGTCGCGACAGGATTGCACAAACCATTGAGTTTAATCAAGCAGCAGACCTACCAAACACCAGTTATTATTAATGCCCATAAAAAGTATATTTATATTAATCGCTTTAGTTCCTAGCAATTTTTAATACTAATGTAATTAAACATAAAAAATACTTAAAACTGAAAAAAAAACCGAAAAAATGAGTTAATTTTGAAGAAAAAGCTTCAAATTTTATTTTTTATTGTCTGGCCTTTCTGTGAAATTTGACACCGATGAGTCATTGTGTTTACAATTGGATGACCTTGAGAACAGCTGATGTTGGATTTCCTGGGACATTTTCATAGAAGTCTCGGGAGGCGATGAATTTATAGTAGGGTGAATACTAGCAAATTAAAATGTTTATTGCGATTTCCGACCACCCGACTTAATTAAACGCATATGTAATAAAATATATTAATTAAAAAATTAAAAAAAACTATTGTTGGTCGTTTTTATATCAGAAAGTAGCTTTAAATAACTTTTATTGAAGTAAAATCCGTGCACTAGAACTTTAGAACGATGAATAAAATTTTATAAAAAAACTCCCATTAAAAACAATTAAGGGTTAGTCGTGCGTCATTATAGGTAGATTAAAATCACTATAAAATTTTTCCACGCGGGAAAAAATTTCGAGACTAAAAACATTAAAAAATTGAAGAAAAAAAATTTTTTTAGGAGCTGAAAGGATCGAGTTTTCTGTAACGCTATGTAACTTGCCCGAGTTTCATTCCCAAAAAAATTATACGTATTTTGGAAATGTTGAGTCGAATTACTCTAGAATCGATTCATTTTATGGAAGAAAATTTTTCAAACAGCCGTAGTCCGTAAACTACACACGTGCCGGGCTGTGATTGGATGGAATCCAAAAAACTAAATTCATAAAACTGGAAACATATCTACCGTGTTATAGGGGGAGTCAAGTGTATTTGCCTTTTTTCAATCTTATAATATAATTGAATTGGGTAGATAATAATTGTAATATGGAGTGCAGAGACTAAGAAGTTAGAAGTTGAAAAATTAAATTTGGTACAGAGTTAGTGTACGTCACGAGAATATACACTAAGAAAAGATTTTTCGAAATTTTTATTTATCGGGGGAAAAGGGACAGAGCTAGAGATTACCCTAAAATAATTCGTCTTATACTGTACTATTTGAGATGAGACTTTTCGCGTTGCAGGAACTCGAACATATATTTAGACTCTTCTAAAAATTCTGAAATTTGCATCGGAAGACAAGAATTCTACTTCTTACACCCAGTAAAAAAACTGCAAGATTGGCAAAATCTAATAATCTTAAGTCGTTTATTTTTATCTTTTGCCCTAGAGACACCATACTTACCTTGTAGTAATGTCATATTATAAACACATTTGAAACGAATTAAAAAAGAATTTGCAGTGTTTACATACACATATGTTCTGTCAGAATTCCTGTCGAATTCGACGGTTTCTCATTTGTTTTAAATACACGTATATATACCTATACATACTATATGTAGATGAATAATACAATATTTGTGTCTCTCTGATCTAAGCATTTTTGTCGATCTTTTCTAACTTTTCTAGCTTATTTTTGGTGGCTCTTGAGAAAATATTGAACATGTAAATTTAAACCTAAACATCACTGCCCTTCTCTGATTTTTCATTCGCTTATTAATTCCTAAATTTTTTGCCCAATTTGATTTAAATGTTTTATACTTATTCTCTGAGATTCGGCTCAAAAATATGTACTCTAATGAAATATGAACGTCCTATTCTTATCCCGATTTGATCTTCTGGACACTTCGTGATAACCAAAACAACGTTAGGTTAAAAGTTGTGAAACATTGTATATTAGTTTTATGTTCAAATGCAGATAAATGGTTCATTGTTCCGTTAAAAGCCGTATTCATTAAATTACTAAATTTAGATTGTGTTTGTAGTTACGAAATTGAAACTTTTTTCGACTTTCAATATGAAACTGTTTCTATTAGTTTCGAGTCCAAAGCTGTTTTGACAGAATCTATCTACTTTTACTCTAGATTCTTTGAAATTATAAACATCAGAAGTAAAAAGTTTATCGTTAATTAAATATTTATCGTTTATTAGATACATATTCGAATTTTGAAAACATTTGATGATATTCATTTCATTATTGCAGTTTTATTATATCATGGATAATTTATTTACCAAACTGTCTGTTAATTAATGACAAAACAACTATTATACGTAAGGGGTTGTCCACACTACGGGAGAGAAGAGAATTACGAGAAATCGAACAAGCAGAAGAGAAAGGTTAAGTATTAGAGGATGTCTGTTTATCTGATGAAATTGTGTACTGTTTATGCATTATATAATATCAATTTTTAAGTTTCTTGTATGTTTCTACCTATAGTTTTATCATTCATCAAGATTTTATTAGTTTTTTTGCTCCTATCGCCTTGAGAGCACTAAGAATATCTTTATTAGTAAGCCCATTATGGGCGCGGCCAGTCCCATAATATAGACAGCTGATTGGTGAAAGACGGGGGCCGATATATATCTAGACAAACCATCCTCAAAAACATTCCAGGGATTTATCGACTTTTCCACGTTCGATTCCCGGATTTTAATTTACAGTTTCTTTGTATTTGAACTTTCATTAAAAAGTTTTATATTGCAACTGCAAATAACTTTATTTAAAAATATGTTGGTTATCAATACTTTTGTAACATATGTTTTATAACACATTCGATAAGTTATATTCCATTATTAATTTTAATCACAAGCTTTTAATATGCTGGCTATGTTTTTATGTGTGTACCGTATAACACAATTTTCTTCACCCTCTAAAGCTTAATAACGCCAGTGCTTTTTGTGAAAAATTTGAGGAATTTTTTAAGAAAGTTTGTATGTTCGAGAAATTGATGCCGTTAAATTTTTTAGGTCAAATGTCAACGGGGAAAAGAGATAAAAAAGGTGATGTGTCATATCTCAAGTAGGGTTGGACTAATTGACGATTTTATTCGTTATCAGCATTTACAATTTTTAAAAATAAAACAATCCCTGTAATGAAAATTAAAATTTTAGTCATTTTATAATAATTAAAAATATAAACAGATATTTTAATAAAATGCCATAACAAATAGTGCCACATACGCAGTTTTAAATGTTTCCGGGAAAGTTAAGAAACTTGTCGGTTTAATCTTCGATGAAGTACTATGGCTTTTCTGCCTTTTCCTTTATTCTTTGTAAAATTTATTTGTACAAACAAAGTAAACAAAGCCGTGCCTGCAAAATGTCAGGCAATTTTTGAAAGCCTCATATCTTTCATGCAGATTTTATACACATGTCTTTCGGGAAAATTTACGTATGAACATTGAGCAGCTTTTTGTGGCCGTTAGGTTAGATATTTGTATGGCTGTAGGAAGGCCGTTTGATCGAAGTTTGCTAGTAAGTTTGTTTGTTTATTAAGTTAATATAACGCAACACTTGAGCGATGCACAGTACATAGGGAATGCCTACCGAGAAGGCTTTTTAAGAGTAAATGTCACTTATTTTGGTGTTACAGACGTGAAATAAAACCCTTGCGCTAATTAAACATCATTCAGTAAGCGGGCGGGGAACCACGGTTACCCTTGGAAACTTCGATGTGGCTTCGTGTAAAAATATTTTTTTCGTACAAATTTAAAATTTTTCAGTACGATCTTCAATGCTTTGAAGTAAAATATTAAGGACATTATTTTCAAGCATTTAATAGATAAAAAATACACGCGTTTTAAAATGGCTGGTCGACACCTGTTTTCTGTGTGCCTTTAACGCACATCTGAATATTGCATTTTCATCTCATTAAATAAATGCACGAAAAATAAAATGCTGTGTTGTTAGATAAAGAGAAATATTACGTCCTTGCTTTGTATATTGAAGTATAGAACGAATGTTAAATTACCGTAGCCTAAAAATAATGAAGTCTAAAATTACAATAAAATGAGTTGTAAAGTTTAGTTTTGTTCAATTTATTTCGTCTTTTTCAGTTAATTAAACATCGATTTGATGCAAAATGAGAACGATATTATTAAATTCCACATCGATTTTACTAAAATTACTTATTTTCGTGACGTTACACATAATAGATTTGCTTTCGTTTATATTTGTCTGCTGCAGATTCTAGTCTGACGTTTTCAAGACGTAATAAGTTGGTTCTAACCGAGATAATGAAAGCGTATGTTACAACTGTCTTGATAATTGTAACAATGTCTTTGTTGTGTGCTGAAGAACATGGTGAGATACTGTATTTCTATATTTGTTAATATAAACGTTTAATTACTTTTACATATTAGTGTATTTCAGACATATATTTGTATGTACTGAGTAATCATAACTAATCGTACCCGAACCCTTGTGTCAAGCGAGCGGGGTCAGTGTTACAACGTGGGGCCCCAGGGAATTTGCGTTTACCCATTTAATAAATGAATTTTGGAAAAATAATAGTTTTATTCGTGGTTTTTGATGTTTCGTGAGTAATCTATTGTGTTTATGGAATATTAATTACCGTATTTTACAGACTATAAGACGCACTTTTTTATTCAAAAAATTGCCTCCAAAATTGAGGTTCGTCTTATACTCAAAATTAATCTAAAAATGTCCAGTGTTTCATTTAAAATTTCTGCCAGTCTAAAAAATTGTCATATATTCGATGCTCGGGAAACCCATCTCTATGTGGTAACATTGAATTCAACTGGCAGCAGCAGTGCACCGATGCGACGAACATGGATGCGTTCTTTTATTCCTCCGCGTAACTCCGCGCGAGCGACATCCGTTTAAAAATTTCTGCGAAATGTGTTCCTAAATTCCGGTTGGAGTGCTTGCCGTCGAACGGCAAAAACTTGTAGCAGTAATTTGCGGTGGAAAGCAACATAGCATCCTGCATGGCTCAGACAGTTTCATTTTGGGGTCCATTATGTGGTTTTATGAATGAAAATTTAGAAATCGTGAAAGCGCAAGTTAGTGCACGCCGTGATGTACGATACCGTAAGTGTTTTTTCGAAGTTTTTTTCGGATGGTAGCCAGAATTTTAATTTTTTTCGTGGCTTTTTGAATGCGCTTTCAACAAGTAATCCATTTTATGGTTAAATTTTACAATTGGGACTCTTCTTTTGCCTTTAAAAGCTCATATTTTAGAATTATAGATTCCTCCATCACGATGGCTTTTATTTTAAAAAATCTGCAACTTTAGGAGCGTTTTGTACAAACTGTATACAAGTCTGTTGCTATCTAAGATCTGATATGCTTTCTTGTATGGGTGTTTTAACTCGCTCAACCAATAAACGTTTTGTAATTACTTCCGGGCTATTAATATTTCCGAAAAAACCGTCCTCTACTATTTTATATTAATTAGCGGTAAGTGGGGAGTATGTGGTTCGTGAAATTAAGCTCCGATTAGATATCCATTAAGTGGGTTCACTTTGTTTAAGTCAACAAGTATAATTTTATTAACCCTGGTCCAAAAATATTTCCATAAACATATCCCCTAACATTCTACAGCAATTAGAGGTAGAACAGGCAGAATATTAAATAATAACGTCGATACTAAACGTATTCTAAACTGTAGTTGGTTCAATTCTTTCTTGTTATTACATCAACGAATCATGCACCAATGAAAACCAGTGCAGCTAAAATTGCTGCGAAATGCCACGCTGCCTCAGGCTCTCAACTTTGAAATATATAAACAATCTTTAGAATAAAACAACTTGATTTTATCGTTTTTTTACTTATAATTTGCTAATAAAAAGTTGTTTGATAGTATTTAGATGGATAAACATTTCAATACTAAGTCTATGAAGAATCTTTTTGCCATTAATTGGCCTAAAAATTGTTGTTTATACGTTTTTTATGCTGTAATTAATCATTTTTTTCATAACTGAATCGCCTTTCTGAAGTGACGGTTGAAAATTTTCCTACGAATAACCAACTGCGCAAGTGCAAAGGAAAAAATATGTCGTCAGGGCACATGGGGAGCAGCAGATTCCCTGAAAACTTTGCTGTCACTTTATGTAAATAAATTTCATATAACTTTGAAATTTTTTAGTGCAATCTTCAGACACTATAGGAAAGGTACTGAAAAAAAATATTTTCCGACATTTAGTAGACAAAACATACACACATTTAAAAATGACTAATTGACACCTGTTCCCCGTATAACGAAGTACTATTCAATGCTGTCTTTAGAAATATTTAATACTCCAAACAAATTTAAATTTGGCATGCTGATATTTCAGGACACACGAAAGGTAAGTCCACGAATAAATAAGTTCGAAATCTCACTGTTTTGGCAGTTTTATAGCTGCATTCAATAAGGATATGCATTAGTTTCAATGCTTGCAGCAAAATGAATTAATTTGATCGATAGAGCATGTGTATATCGTGGAGTTTTTTTGCTGCCTTATGTAAATTTTTCACTTTCCTGAGTGCGAAGATAACGAAAGACAATTTTAATATTTAAGCATAAAGTACAAATAATCTCTGACTGTAATGGATAAAACCAACAGAAATTAATACGAAAACAGTTTTATTAATTTATTTAGCTTATGAACACGTTGAAAACATTCTGATCTTGGTACACACTCGTATTAGTGAGTACAAGACACATTGTAACAATATTATCAATTAGCAGGGGGCATGATGACACACAAAGATATTGGCAAGGCGTGTCTCCTCAAAGTTTGTGAACAAGACACTTTCACTTTGAATCTTCTATTTATGTTTGAAATATGTATTTATTATCAAGTAAATTTACACGCCCCATTTTGAATAAATTACTTATATTACTGTAATCATTGCATTGATACTAATGTAACTAATTTATTGCGGCATGCAAGTGTAAGCCTGCATAAATATACAGTGAAAACCTTTTATAACAACGAAATGGATTCTTCTCACTAATATATAGATTTTTTCACTCTGAAGTATACAATGAGATATTCCTTCTATTATATTTGTGTCCATAAGACATTTCATACGAAAACTTTTAATTCTGATAAAATTCTACATAGGAGCAAGAAATATTTCATATGAATGGAAAATTGTTGGTGTACAGGTAAGATGACTTTTTTCTTAATAATAGATTTTACTAGTTTTATCACGTGATTTACAAATTACAGATTCCGGCTTATATGAAATTAGACAAAACGGAAACGAAAATCACAGGCGGATTTTACTTTCACGTGTTTAAAGCTGTTAAACAGAAATTAANAGGTAAGATGACTTTTTTCTTAATAATAGATTTTACTAGTTTTATCACGTGATTTACAAATTACAGATTCCGGCTTATATGAAATTAGACAAAACGGAAACGAAAATCACAGGCGGATTTTACTTTCACGTGTTTAAAGCTGTTAAAGAGAAATTAAAATTTAGGTAAATAATAGAAATACATTTACGAGATATTAATTAAATGTATAAACATAAAATAAATTTAATAAATTTCATTTACGTAGTTACTCTCTGGTAAAACCAATACCGAAACATTATGGACATCTAACAGAAAACGGCTCGTGGACTGGATTAGTTGCAAAAATGGTAAATAAGGTAGGCAAATTGAAACTACACACATGTACTGTACATTTGTGAATGTGTGTATAAATGGATAAGTGCAAAATTATACTGATACAATACATACAGTAGAGCTTCGATTATCCGACTCCCGATTAACCGTCACCTCGGTTAACCGACCGCGTTCTAGTCGGCAAATTCAAATGTCCGCTAGTGATGTGGCGCTACAATATTTGGCTATGACTTGGCTACTTTAATATTATTTTTGTTAAATTTTTGCGTGTTTTAGCTGGCTACACTGGCTCAACCATGAAATTGAGGCCAGTATTTAAACGAAGCTTAATTTTTTAATTATGAGTGGTTGTGTTAAGATTAATCATATTCTTTTTGTAAACCGCGTTTAAGTTAAGCATCATCTGTTCATTTTTTATGTCCGGTCATTGAAAGACCGCTATGGATCGAGTGTCAGTTGTATATACAAAACGTAAATTGTGTACAAACTGCGTGTTTGTGTATTCTCTGGTAAATGTACAATTTTATTTCGTCAATTGTTCACGATAGCAGATATCTTGTGTGTAAGATCCAAGTCAGATGTGCGCAAGCTAATAAATGTTCTTGTTAACTGCTTCTTCTAATTATTATGTAATTAAAAATTGATCTAACGTAAAAAATACTTAAAACTGAAAAAACGAAAAAAATGCGTTATTTTTAAAAAAAAGACTTCGAACTTTATTTTCCATTGTCTTCCTTTTTTGCGAAGTTTGTCACTGATGAGTCATTGTGTTTACAGCTGGATGACCTTGAGAACAGCTGGTATTGGATTTCCCGGGACATTCTAATAAAACTTACAGGAGGCGAAGGGTTTATAGTAGGATGAATACTAGCTGGCTGTATATATATATTTTTTGTTTTATATTTTTCAATGTACAGTACAGTACCGTATTTATTTTGCGCAAAATAAAGAAATAATTTTTAACGATGCAATAGCGACAATTATTATTTAAAAAAAATTGATAGGCTTAACATGGAGGAAAATTCAACGCGAAGTAGGTTAATAGCGTTATACTTTATATACTAATTACATGGGATATAATAATATACTACACTAATAATGGATTTTTTCATACTTTTCGGTTATACGACTTTTCAATTATCCAACCAACTCCAGTCCCGAATTAAGTCGGATAATCGATGCTCTACTGTATCACAATTATGTATTACAGTAATGTATTATGTATTATGAAGACAAGTAAGGTTAATGATTACCGTTTTTTCATGGTGGTGACTCGTGGAACTGTTACAAAAAGAATTACAAGAGAGTATATTTGTACCGTCATCTCCAGCATATGTACGCTGTTTATCCACCCCATCGCATAACTTTAAACCCTGTCAAATTGTTTTTAACACAGATAACCAGCTGGTTATATGTACAAAAATACGAAATTATTTTCTGATGAAAAGTATTAAAGTAAAAGTTCGTAACAATAAAGCTTATAGTTAATATAATGTATAAATTTATATTGTAAGTTATACGTTTAAGCTCGCTGAAAAGTTTCAGCAGACACCGTGTACATATCACGGTTTATAGCGAAATCTCTCAGTAAGCTCATAAACACCGACCTATCTGTATTCGATTTAAAAATTCTAAGAGATCAGTGTACCACTATGGAAATGAGATTTCGGCTTGTTGAATCAATTTTGTTGAAGAATGTGTTTAATTCCGTGGTAATTTATATTTCCATACCTTGCTCATAAATAGCAAAATTTTACTATATTTTCCATATAGCTGGTCACGTGGATTTCTTGTGTTGTACTTACGTGAAACTCCGAAATACTGATTAGTTTCTCATACAAAATTTGCTTGTAACGCATACTCTTCGCATAACGTTCTTGTGTTTCGTGTCTTATTTTTTCAATTCAATACAATTAATTGTTTTGTTTTAAATTTAGGATGCCGATATGGCCTTCGTTGGTTTAATCCTCAACCCTAACCGTTTTGCAGCAGTGGAATTTACATCTCCATTAGTGTTCCAGTCCGTTGTCTTTGTCATCAGGGTTCCAGCAAAGATTCCGAATTGGATTTCCATAATAAAACCTTTCGGTTTGGATGTACGTATTTAACATTTACATAGGGTTGCCAACAAGCACTACAGTTGCCCGGAGTAATATAATTTCAACTTTACTGTTCTGGGACATTAAACGCGAGCGTTTAATGTCCCAGAACAGAGCGGGTCGAAAAATTCTAAGAACTTTTGAAAGTACTCTAAAAAACAAAATTTCAAATATTGTTTTTCAAAATGGCATCCTCGTTATTGACTTGGCCAAACCCACGATGTACTGATAAAGGTCTTCTTAGTGCCCTGAGGTACCCCCTGATAAAGGTCTTCTTAGTGCACACAAGACAGAAATCGTAAAAAGAACTTTTTTTTGGAATTTGTAACTTTAAATGTTGGCAACCTTACTTTTAAATTGAATATTTATATTGATTTATTCTCACGAGAACTATTTGTTTTAGATGTGGATAATGATTTTCTCAACGGTATTCATATTTGGATTAGTATTGCATAAAGTGGCCGAACGTGATTTCATGACTGACGAAGTGGGAGTATTTTGGCCACGAAGCCGTGTGTTCTGGAATCTATTTTGCACGTTTGTTTACCAAGGTAAACGGTATTTTGCTTTAAAAACAGATACAAATATTAGAAACTAGAAGATGAACAAGGCGTTTTTCGGAAAAAATAACGATAGCAAAGATTAATACATTATTACTGATCTTACTCGTTCTCAAAGGGTGCAGAAATTAAGCCCCTTTTTTCCGAAGACTAATTAGAGAATTTTTAGATGTCTGCTGTGTGAGTTAACGATAATGAAGTGTCACTGCAACCAGTTATCGGTGCGTAGTACCTCTAAGTCGAGCCCTGTCCCTCACCATCCGATCGCACCATTGTGGGTCTTTCCGAACTCATAATGGGCCTGATATAAGAGGCCTTCTTAGTGCCCCCAACGCGGAAAGAGTATAGAAGAAAAGTATTTCTAACTCATGAATAACGAACTTCTTCTGAGTTCTTTTTCAGGATTATTATTTCCAAAAATTAGCTGAATCTTCGAGATTCATTTATAAATATAAATTCGAACATTAAGACGAAGAGTTCGAATACAGCGAACATATGCGCATACACTCTTCGTGTCAACTATGAATAAGATGAAAGATGTTGAGAATTTTTATAGAAGGGTCTAAAAATATGTTCGATTTCCCGCGATAATGCAAAAAATGACATCTAAAATAGTACAGTTGAACACGAGTTTTTCGGAATTACATGTTCTTTACTTAATGTGCATTCTCATTGCATACACCATTAATTAAATGCAGTCAAAAACGAAAAATCCGCATATAAAATAATACAGTTTTACAGCTGAGTTTTTTTAGGATAAGACTTAATTCTCTCCCTCTCCCCAACAGGTGAACTTCGAAAAATTTCTCTTTATTCCTGACGTACGCTTATTAATCTTATTATTTTTTCATTAATATCAACCCGTTACGATTACATTATAAGATTAATATTTATTCTTAGGAATTAACTTGGATAACGTAAAAAGATTCAAATCCAGATTGCTTGTGTCAATATGGTTGCTATCAGTTGTAGTGTTAGTGCACAGTTACAGTGGAACTTTAATGTCTTTCATGTCGTATCCTTTAACCGAATCTGTACCAAAAACTTTTGACGAACTAGCCATTGCTGTCAGAAATGGTGAATATTCTTGTTGTATGAGGGGAAATAACGCTATATGGAGTTACATTAAGGTAAGTATAGACTGGCCATATTTGAAGTTTCACTATTCAGAGCAATCTGTATCTGTAAATAAGAAGCTGTTGAAATTAAACTTTGTATACAGACTGTGTAAAAAAAAGAAAAAAGAATTTCAACACAATAATTTAGTTCAAAAACCTCTTTTAAAACGTGCTTTACATGGTTTACAGGGAACCACAAAAGACAGAATGATAATAACGCAACGAAAACGTATTTATTATTTCAGCATAAAACATTCCTTCTGCATAGTATGTTTACTGATATAAACAATGTTTCTCAACGTGTGTCCGATTATTCGGTAATGCCCTTTCATTCGTAATGTTTAAAATAATATTAAAATGTCAAGTAAAATTCGTGTTTTCCGTGTTTCGAGCATTAAGTATACTTCCATGTTTCATGTTTGCTAGCGGTAAATTTCTAACTTCGTGTTTGTACGCAAAGCACTTTTTATCATTCGTAGGATAATCTGTAAATCTATTTTGTGGGATTTGGTTATTGGCTACCGATACAGAGTGCACTGAATAGGGAAACTTTTTTGTGACACCTGATGTGACAAGTTTTGCATTCAGTACTTGTAATATATTCGATTATTTTGTTTCCTGCATATTATTTGAAGAATTCCAACAACAGAAGAGAAAAAATTTTGAAAGATCACATCATACGTCACAATCACTTCTTCTCTTCTTGGACAGCAATTGAAAAAGTTAAAAAAGAACGTTTTGCATTTATAACGACTGAATATTTTACAAGTAAACTGATACCAAAAGAATCAAACGCATATAGAATTTCTGCAGATGTTCTTGTCACATTTGTTCAGTCTTATGCTGTGAGAAAGGGATTCCCTTTTAAGAAGAAATTAAGTAAGACGTAAGATAAGTTTCTGTTTACCTGTATGACGTTTTCTATTACGAAGCACTAAAAAATATATTTATTTTATAGAATAATACATTTGTTTGAAGCGGGAATCACCGAGAAAAAAGATTATGCAGAAACATCAAAGATGCTGAAGTATACAGAATTCCAAGCATTACAATTGGCTGACATCATTAGTCCAATAATATTGCTTTCGATTGGGTTTATTCTAGCATTAATGTGTTTATTTGTAGAATTATTCTACAAAAGAATAATTGGAAATCAACACCTGTAAGAAAAAAATGAATATTCGTTTAACATTCCTTATAGAACAATTAATACTAATTATTCAGGAAAATCATCAATTTTATTCACACAGCTGTCATATGCACTGTTGGATACGCGATATTGAAGTTATCTCTTATTAAATATTACGAAAATAATTAATATATTAATTTACACTTTCTTGTATTCAAACTTTAATTAAAACACATTAATGCTAATGAAAAAAAAATAATACCCAGTATTTTTATGAAACGAACTATGTAATTCATGATATAAATTTAAACTTTCATTTAAAGCAGGGTCTAATAGTAACTAAAATGTGGCCTAAAAATATATATTAATTAATTAATTAAGAATAATAATAAAAATATAAACTGTTGACTGACGATTTGCAAAAATAATTTTTTATATTAATAAATAATAGTTTTTTCCGGAATATAAAAAAGCATACTAAGTTGAAAGCAGCTTCGACATTAACTCGATATCGCCGATGTCTATTTAAACCATCTGCAGAAAAATGTCACATTATAAACGATAATCTCACAATTTTTAGAATTAAAAAAATCTAATATATCTTTAGACAAACGAGAAAAATAAGCAAATTACATATACAGTTGACCCCCGTATAATGCGGGTTCATATAATGCAGTTTTGTATATCGCGGAAAAAAATTGCGACCGTATTCGTATAAATACGCTAAAAGAAACTCGTAATAGGCGGTAAAACGTCGTCGCCGACTCGTGTCGCGAGAAGATTGGTCGAATCTGGACCAATAGTGGATGATCAGCCGAACTACTTTCTGCCGTCCACCGCTACGCTATGAAAAGTTTAGGCAAGTAAATTGAGTTATCTATCGTCTGTACAGTATTATATATAAATTATATATAAATTAGGTACTGTACATATAATTATATATCAACTTAGGTTATTGGAACTTTATTATAATTATATATATATATATTTTCCGCTGTTCAGCGCCACTCTACGGGGAGAGTTTAAGCGAGTATGTTGAGTTTACTATCGTCTGTACGGTATGTAAATTAGGTACCGTAAGTCTAATACAGTACTGTAATTTTACACATTTCTTGTAAAAAAAATTTTTTTTTTTCAACGGCCATAAAAATTATTTCTATTAATGATGTCTCCAAAGGTCAACTAATTTTTCGCAGAAAAATAATTTATCAGAAATTGCGGCCGCCGTTTGGTGCGCTGTTCCGCGAAGATAACAAGCGTAAGCAACGGTGCACACTCGGTAAGTAATCCTAAAATTTTTTCTTTATAGCAGGGGTGTCCAACCCCCGGCCCGCGGGCCGCATGAGGCCCAAGGCAAGTTCAAATGCGGGTCAATAAACGTGTAAACAAAACCGACAAATGTTTTAATTTTTTATTATTTATTGATTTCAACGGNGCCCGCGGGCCGCATGAGGCCCAAGGCAAGTTCAAATGCGGGTCAATAAACGTGTAAACAAAACCGACAAATGTTTTAATTTTTTATTATTTATTGATTTCAACGGCATAAACTCAAAAAAAAAGTTTCACAAAGCCGTAAACCTTTACTCATATTTTATTTTTGAGTGGAAAGAAAATATTTTCAAACACTGTATTTGGAGATGTGTCAATGTGGAAGGATTACTAAATAAAGCTGGAGTCAAAACTCAAAGGATTATAGATCCAAATTTGGGAAAAAGAGGGAAAGATCAGAAAAACAAAAGATGTAGTAGTGAGAAAGGTTAAATAGATCTTCTGTCAAGTAAATACGGACCCGTAATTTTTCAACCTTTTTCAATTCTTTATCTTTTGTCCTTTGTCTCTTTTTCCTGCACTTGGGTCTATAATCCTTTGATTCACAACTCCAGCTTTATTTAGTATTT